TCTCGACCGGAGACCTCCCCAGCCCTGCTGTGGACGGGGAAGGTTGGCGATGCGTCGGCGTTCCGGGTCTGGGGATCTCGGGCGTTTGTTCGCGACCTGTCTGCGGACAAGCTGTCCCCTCGTGCTTCTCCCTGCGTCTTCCTGGGGTTCCCCCCCGACGCCCCTGGGTGGCAGTTTTACCACCCCACCTCTCGACGTGTTCTGTCCTCCCAGGACGTCACGTTCGACGAGTCGGTACCCTACTACCGCCTCTTCCCCTACCGCACTCCGTCCCTCCCCCCACCCCCGCTCTTCTTGGTACCAGGTCCCCCCCCGGTAGTCCCCCTCCCCCCTCAGGGTCCTGCCCCTTCAGGTGTGTCCCAGGTAGACGCGGTCGAGCCTGTCGAGGTCACTGGTGACTCTGGTGCTGCTGCGGGAGCTGAGCCTGGGGGTGCGGAGTCTGGGGGTGCTGAGCCTGGGGGTGCTGGGCCTGGGGGTGCTGTGCCTGGGGGTGCTGAGCCTGGAGGTGCCGAGCCTGGGGGTGCTGTGCGTGGGGGTGCTGTGCCTAGGGGTGCTGAGCCTGGGGGTGCTGCGCCTGGGGGTGCTATGCCTGGGGGTGCTGTGCCTGGGGGTGCTGTGCCTAGGGGTGCTGAGCCTGGGGGTGCTGAGCCTGGGGGTGCTGTGCCTGGGGGTGCTTCGTCTCGCCGGGAGCCACTCTCCCCACAGGAGCTGCGTGAGTGGTTTGCCAGGCGCTGGAGGCGTGCTGCTGGTGCTGGTGGTTCTTCGGCTGCAGAGGGTACTGCTGCCGCGCGTCCCGCCGGTGCTCGTACTTTGGGTGCTGGAGCTGCTGGGTCTGAGAGTTCTCCTGGAGCTGGTACTGCTGAGGGTGTTGGCGCTGAGCCTGCCGTTGGCGGTCCGACTGACAGTGCTCCTGGTGCTGCTGCTGGAGGTTCTGGAGCTTCTGGTGGTGCTGCTGGAGGTGCTGCTGGAGTGGGTGCTCCTGCCGGGGCTGCTGGTGCTGTTCCTGCTGTTTCTAGCGTCGCCGCGCGGCCCCGACCGTACTTCGTTCCGCTCCTGCAGCAGGTTCTTGGTCTTACACCTCCTCCTCCTCCCTTAGAGGGTCCGCAGCCTGTCCGGTCACAGCCACAGCTACAGCCTGCCTCCCCTTTGCCTGCTCCTTCTCCCTACGCTGGTCCGACTGGAGGTCTTACTGAGCGTCGTGAGCCTGCGTCTCGTCCTGTGTCGCCTGTTCGTACTGAGCGCGCTAGTGGTCGCGGGTCGCGTCAGCGTCCTCCTCCTGTCCCTGGCACGCACCGGATGTCACTGCGTCCGTCCACTGCTCCTCTGCGTGCCCCTTTGCCTTCTCCTCCTGCTTCCTCTCTTCCTGCTCTTGCCGACCCGGAGTCGGACTCTCTTCGTGCTGCCAGTCCTACTGTCACGCGTCTCCTTGCTACTGCTGTCACTGACCCTTCCTTCGAGTCGTCTGCTGCGTCTGCCCTTGTCACTGAGCTTGTCGACTTTGCTGCGCGCTGTCGTCTAGACTACACTGCTCGTCTTGTCACTGAGTCTGAGTCCGCCTGTCCTCCGTCCGTCGGGGGTGAGTGTGCCCTTGGCACGGACGTCCTTGAGGACAGGCAGGAGGAGTTCCAGTGTCTGGCCGCCGCTTCACCTCGTCTCGCGTCTGTACTGCTAGCCCCTGAGGGAGACCCGGATGCACCAGACATCCCGACTCCGCGCTCTTACGCGGAGGCGATAGAGGGTCCCTACTCCTCTCAGTGGCAGGCAGCTATGGATGCAGAGATGGCTTCCTGGAAGTCCACAGGCACCTACGTTGACGCTGTTCCCCCTCCTGGGGCGAACATCGTCAGTGGCATGTGGATTTTCAGGGTGAAGCGGCCGCCGGGTTCTCCGCCTGTCTTCAAGGCGCGTTACGTGGCTCGTGGCTTCAGTCAGCGGCAGGGGGTTGACTACTTTCAGACCTTCTCCCCCACCCCGAAGATGACCACTCTTCGGGTTCTGCTGCACGTTGCTGCTCACCGTGACTACGAGCTGCACTCTCTCGACTTCAGCACAGCTTTCTTGCAGGGCAGCCTGCACGAGGAGATCTGGCTGCGTCGCCCACCTGGCTTCACTGGGTCTTTCCCTCCTGGTACCCAGTGGAGTCTCCGGCGTCCAGTCTACGGTCTCCGCCAGGCGCCACGTGAGTGGCACGACACACAGAGGACTACGCTCGCGGCACTTGGGTTTGCTCCTTCTACTGCCGACCCGTCGCTGTTTCTGCGCACCGACACCTCTCTGCCGCCGTTCTACATCCTCGTGTACGTCGACGACTTGGTCTTTGCCACAGCTGACACTGCTGGACTCGCCTACGTGAAGTCCGAGCTGCAGAAGAGACACACGTGCACTGACCTGGGTGAACTGCGCAGCTACCTTGGCGTGCAGATCACCCGGGACAGAGCACGCCGCACCATTACCCTGACTCAGTCACACATGGTGCAGCAGGTCCTTCAGCGCTTCGGCTTCACGTACTCCTCGCCTCAGGCCACTCCTCTGCCTACTCGCCACTCGCTCTCAGCTCTGCCTTCGGATGAGTCCGTAGAGTCGAGTGGCCCGTTTGCAGAGCTTGTTGGCTGCCTCATGTACCTGATGACCTGCACACGACCTGACCTCGCATACCCTCTTAGCATTCTCGCACGCTTTGTTGCTCCTGGGAGACACCGACCTGAGCACATGGCTGCAGCGAAGAGGGTGTTGCGCTACTTGTGCAGTACGTCGGGCATGGGGCTAGTGCTTGGAGGGCGCAGTCCAGTGGTCCTCACTGGGCACGCAGACGCTTCTTGGGCTGACGACCAGGCTACGCAGCGGTCGTCACAGGGTTACACCTTCAGCCTTGGTTCCGGCTCTGTCTCGTGGCGGGCTACCCGCTCGTCTTCTGTTCTCGGCTCCAGTTGTGAGGCTGAGATCTACGCTGGGGCTATGGCTGCACAGGAGTTACGCTGGCTCACCTACCTGCTGACCGACCTTGGAGAGCAGCCTCGTTCTCCTCCAGTCCTGTACGTAGACAACAAGGCCATGCTGGCCTTGTGTCGAGAGCAGCGACTGGAGCACAGAACGAAGCACATTGCTCTCCGCTACTTTCTTGCTCGTGAGCTACAGCAGCGTGGACAGTTGCGACTTGCGTACGTGGCCTCTGAGGCCAACACTGCTGATGTCTTTACCAAGGCACTTGCGCCTTGTGATCATCAGCGTTGTTGCACGCAGTTGGGTCTTGTGCCTGTCTTGCCTCACTTGCTCTCCTCTTGACCTTGCTTGTACCTTCGCCTATATATACTCTTGCTCTTGCTTGCTTGACTCTTGTATATCTCTATATATGATCTTGCATGTGAACTGGCCTTCTGGCCTTTGAACTTGTGCTCGGAATGCGTGGTGACTTTGTGATCCACCCTGAGCTTTGCTTTGCTTTGCTTGACTGGTCTTGTGACCCCTTGTTCTCCCCCACTTTGCCTATGGGGGTGTGTCAGAACATATAACTTACTTGTTTCTGTAGGCTATAGTGGGGTATCCCATAGGGGGTACAACACAATTAGGGTTTCCTATTTGTATTCACTTCACTTCATAGTCATTCATTCTCGTTCACACTTTCTCAATTTGCAATAGCGGAAGCGTTTAATGAAACTTGTGAACCGACCTTGCACTAGTGTGTGAGAGCAAAGTTGATTAATTAAAGCAAGCAAATACAAGGTTTATATAAGAGTACAAGGAATACGATTAGATAGATTCAAACCGTTTTACTGTTGCGATTCAATACAGTGCGACTCGGGCAACTGCTCAATGTCGAGTCAGTTGTGTTGTGTGTCCTTGTTGTCGCGCTGTAATTGTCGAGTCAAAGGTCGCTGACCTTTGACTTTCCCGTAACCTCCAGGCGGTTACCCTAACCTCCGAGGTTTGACTCGATGCTTCGATTCGGACTGCTTCGCTAGTGTCTTGGGTTTTGACACGACAGAGGCGCTTTAGGATTTATTGTTCCCAACATGGGGGAGGAGAGAATCCTTGTGGGTGGAGCGGAGATTGGAATGTAAAATAAAACCCTAAGATTTTGGAGGACTGCTAACACAAGTTTGAAATGAAATTACTTGGTCACTGGAGAGAGTTATTGTAGCATTAAATTACTGTATATTACAGCGTATGTGAACTTTCTAGAAGTGTTTGCTTTGCAATGTATCTCGCAATGGTCAAGTACCACAATTGGTTCACTCAATTGCAAGTCACATTACAAACTGGCAATGCACGCTGACCAGTCCTTGCATAAGGGCGTGGGAACACAACACACTCAACTTGCACCCAAATCGACCTCAACTTGCAGCCAACGAAAGTACACACGATGCCCGGTTGAGCCCCCCGACCTCGCCTTACCCTCTGGGCGTATAAACGATTCCTGCAATTCGCGGAGGTTTCGTCAATTCGTTTCGGGCAAAAAGGGCTTGTAAAAAGATTTGTAACTCACCGTTGACTTTTTGACTGCATTCTCTTCAGTCAGACTTCAGTTTCTGTGGTTCGTATTGGTTGACGTGCCTGTAACGTGGGTGCAGCCTCACGGCACAAAACCCACGGGTGCAAGGTTTCCATCAGGTGCGAGGCAATTTCGCGTGCAGGGGGTGAGCATCATGTGTAACCCGTTGGCCATCATCCGCATCTTCCGTGAACAACCGCACGTTCTGTACCTTTGCACCATACGTGAGTCGGTCGTTCCGCAAGTCTCGGACGTGGGTGCGTACGGAGATAATTGTTCGCGAAACATGCGGATCGCCCTTTAGCGGACCACCCGCAACCGAACTTGTGGCATATGCTCCACGCCGAGGGAAGCATGTGCGCGGACCAGACAGACTGGCGCAGAGTGCGCTTAGGCACCGCCAGGTGGAGGAGGAACCGCATGTGAAGGACCAGTCGCTCTTACACTCCTCGCTTCGCGCTCACGTGGGTGCGCTGGGCGATCTCCCAGTCGCCCTCAGATCCAACCCGCCATGCTTCGCGTGCGAACCTCCTCGTCGCCCTCCGACTCACAGTCGTCGCAACAATCGTGGCGCGGATGGCCCGCAGCCGCCTCGTCCGTGGCGCGCCGCCATGCCACGTCGCTCCGCCGCACGCTGAGCGTCGCGGCGCTGCCTCTGCTGCTCCTGGCGTACGTCGCGGTTCGGCTGACAATCGCGCCGCATTATCAAAGCGCGCTGACTGAGCCCGGCGCAACGACGAGGAAGCCGCGGCGCGTGGAGGCGCTGCGAGTGTTTATCGTGCCGCTCGACCCGTCCATGAGCTTCGGGCTGCTCAATGTGCGACCTCGGGCTGACCCCACTCTCCTGCACCCATGCCATCCCTGTCTTTCGTTTGCTCCGCTCATGGTTTGCGAAGGAATGCGATGTGACTGTACATTCACTTGAGCCCCCTTTCCCGCCTCCCTGCACTCGTCCACAAGAGTGTCATGTCCCGCCCACCCACCTCGAAGCGCATCGAATCTCTCGGATGGCGAGCGCGCGTGACGGGGTGGCAGCAGGTAGGGGCTGTGGGCGCCGTGGTTGTGCGAGCGCACGTCGCCGCCACGGCTTTTGTCCCACCCTGTAGTGGACTGTGCTCACCCTCACTACCCCCCGCGCCCACCACCCCTCGCTGCCCGTGCTCCCCCCCTGCGTGCAGTCGTCATCACAGCTGTCGTTGAGCATCCCCGCGCGCCTGGTGCCCACGTGGAACCGAGTCACCGGCAGCAACGTCCCCCTCCCGCCCTCCCTCGCGCTCACCACCCCCGCCCTCGCTCTCTCCACAGCTGCCCCCCCATCCCCCTCTGCTGCTGCGCTGGTGCAAGGCGAGGCGGGGGATGACCTGGGCACGGCAGAGGAGGGTAGCGGGGAGGAGAAGGAGGAGGAGATGGTGAGCGTGCAGGTGGCAGCTTATGACGCAGAGTCACATGTGTACACATACAGTGCCGAGTACTGGCTCACCCTCTCACTCTTCACAGGTGCACCCCTCGCCCCTCCTCCCTTGCAACTCCGCCTTCTCCCTTGCGAGCGTCTTCTCCAGCACACGGGTTGTGCCCCTCCACGTGTTTCTCCCGTCCCCCTCTTGCTGCCCCCCCCTCCCCTCCATCACCTGCACGGCCCACTCCTCTCGTGCCGTGCTCCCTGCTCACTGCGCTCCCCGTGCATGCCCTGTGCTGCACCGTCACCCTGCTCTCGCCCTGCTCCCCCGTGTGCGCCTGGCAGGGCTGCCGGCAGTGCGAGTGGTGGAGCACCCCTCACAAGCGGACGCGCTCTTCCTGCCGCTCTTCTCCTCGCTGCTGCTCCTCCGTAGGTTCGTCAAGGGCGCTTGGAAGGGGGGGATGCATGTGGTTGAGTGGACAGGGGGATGCGTGTGCCTGGATGTGGGCTGGGCTGCATGCACTGCACTCACGCCATGCCCATGCACTCACTCCTGCTCGCGTCTGCGCGCCGCCCTTCCCTACCCTCTCTACCGTTGTCGCTTGCACGCTCGCCCCTTGCGTTGCCCCTCTCTCTCTCTGCCCTCCACGCGCCACCCTATTCTTATCCTCCTCTGTTCCCTCCTCCTCCACCATTCCCTCCCTTCCTCTCCCCCCCAATCCCCTTCTCCTCTCCTTCCCATTTTCCCCCGTTTCCCTTTTTTTCCCCTTTCCCCTTTCCCCCCATTGCCCTGCGCGCGGCTGCCCTGCGTGCACCCCATGCACGTGGCACGTGCGCCCTCCACCCCGCCCGCCCCCCTGCAGTGGCCCCCCCAACGCGTCGGCCGCATTCTCTCTGCGCACGCCCCCCGCCCTGCTGGACTCCGTGCTCTCCTATGTGGCGTCGCTGCTGCAGCAGCACCAGCCTGCACGTGCGCCCCTGCCGCTGCTGCTGCCCGCCGTGCACGCGCATGCGCTCGCCCCCGCCAAGCGCCAGCTCGCCTCCGCTCGCTTCTTCCTCGCTGATTTCCGCCACTCCAGCCCCCAGGTGACCCGCGCGCGTGGCCACGCAGGGCATGGGAGAGACGGAAGGGGAGGGCGGGCTGATGGGGGGAGAGTTGGGAAAAGAGGAGACATGGGGTGACGTGAGTTTTAAATGAGCTAGAAACACAAGTAGCAGCAGCGGTTACTTGTGTTGAGTGTTACTGCACAGCACGGTAGGGCAGCACGCTGTGATTGCCTCTACTCCAAGGCCCCGTGGGTTTCTTCCGGCTCTCGCTCCTCATGCTCTCGTCCCTTCCTGCTTCTCGTTCCTCCCTCCCCTTCTCCCCCATGCCCCATGCCCCATGCCCGTGCGTGCATGTGGGTGGGGTGAGCAGGCGGTGAGTGTGGGCAAGGACGTACTGGTGCCGCTGGCGTCGCCCGTGCCGCCCGTGCTGGACGACACTGGCGAGTGGGCCCACCGCCCCACCCTCGCCTTCTTCCACGGCCCGCCACAGGTGAGCAGCGTACAGGACAGGTCAGGCGGTAGAGAGAAGAGGGAAAGGGAAGCAGGAAAAATCATGAGTGCTCATGTCCTCCAACTCTCCGCAGGCTGTGCCTCTAGACTCATGCGTTGGGAGGCCCATCGGAAGTAGGCACACAGATACAGCTGGGCAGGCGACTGGGGTGCCATGGGTGCCCTGGGGGCACGTGCATGCCTCCCTGCTGTACACCATGCCTCTGCAACAGAAGCCACCTCTTGCCTGCCTGTGCTGTGCTTGTGCGTGTGCAGACACAGGAGCGGGTGCGGCTGGCGGCGGTGCTGGCGAGCAGCATGGACTTTGAGGTGACGGTGTGGGGCGACGTGCACAGCAACGAGCAGCACGAGCAGGAGAGGGCACGGGAGCGGCACGGCATGCGCACTGCCAAGTTCTGCCTCCTGCTGCCAGGTCAGCACCACCCTCATGCCCGCTCCTTGCCTGTGCACCTCACACCACTGCTCTCCCTCCCATCCCTCCCATCCCTCCCATCCCTCCCATCCCTCCCATATCTGCCATCCGCCTGCATTGCCTGCACTCCCCTGTCCCCGCCCCTCTCCGCTCACGTGCGCTTGCCCCATGCTGCGCTGCATGCATGCCTGTGTGCCATGCCTGTGCCCGTGTGAGCACGAGCAGGTGAGCTGCCGTGGTCAGCGGGGATGGGAGACGCCGTGATGAGCGGGTGTGTGCCGGTGCTGCTGCTGCCCGCCAAGCTACCCGCCCCTTTCTTGCCTCTGGAGGCCTCTGTGCCGTACAAGGAGTTCTCGCTGGTGCTGCCGCTGCCCCTGGCCCTGCGCCCGCGCTACCTGCTGGAGGCACTGGGCGTGGTGAAGCGCCACCAGTGGCTGCGCATGTGGAACCGCCTGCGCAAGGTGCGGTGAGGGAGGTGGGGTGGGCGTGGCAGAGGGAAACGAAGGGCTTGAGCGAGGGGCGTGCGGAGGGATCCCTCTGGCATAACTGGAGGCCTCTGTGCCGTACAAGGAGTTCTCGCTGGTTATGCCAGTGCTGCCAGTTATGCCAGTGCTGCCAGTTATGCCAGTGCTGCCAGTTATGCCAGTGCTGCCAGTTATGCCAGTGCTGCCAGTTATGCCAGTGCTGCCAGTTATGCCAGTGCTGCCAGTTATGCCAGTGCTGCCAGTTATGCCAGTGCTGCCAGTTATGCCAGTGCTGCCAGTTATGCCAGTGCTGCCAGTTATGCCAGTGCTGCCAGTTATGCCAGTGCTGCCAGTTATGCCAGTGCTGCCAGTTATGCCAGTGCTGCCAGTTATGCCAGTGCTGCCAGTTATGCCAGTGCTGCCAGTTATGCCAGTGCTGCCAGTTATGCCAGTGCTGCCAGTTATGCCAGTGCTGCCAGTTATGCCAGTGCTGCCAGTTATGCCAGTGCTGCCAGTTATGCCAGTGCTGCCAGTTATGCCAGTGCTGCCAGTTATGCCAGTGCTGCCAGTTATGCCAGTGCTGCCAGTTATGCCAGTGCTGCCAGTTATGCCAGTGCTGCCAGTTATGCCAGTGCTGCCAGTTAAGTTATGCCAGTGCTGCCAGTTATGCCAGTGCTGCCAGTTATGCCAGTGCTGCCAGTTATGCCAGTGCTGCCAGTTATGCCAGTGCTGCCAGTTATGCCAGTGCTGCCAGTTATGCCAGTGCTGCCAGTTATGCCAGTGCTGCCAGTTATGCCAGTGCTGCCAGTTATGCCAGTGCTGCCAGTTATGCCAGTGCTGCCAGTTATGCCAGTGCTGCCAGTTATGCCAGTGCTGCCAGTTATGCCAGTGCTGCCAGTTATGCCAGTGCTGCCAGTTATGCCAGTGCTGCCAGTTATGCCAGTGCTGCCAGTTATGCCAGTGCTGCCAGTTATGCCAGTGCTGCCAGTTATGCCAGTGCTATGCCAGTTATGCCAGTGCTGCCAGTTATGCCAGTGCTGCCAGTTATGCCAGTGCTGCCAGTTATGCCAGTGCTGCCAGTTATGCCAGTGCTGCCAGTTATGCCAGTGCTGCCAGTTATGCCAGTGCTGCCAGTTATGCCAGTGCTGCCAGTTATGCCAGTGCTGCCAGTTATGCCAGTGCTGCCAGTTATGCCAGTGCTGCCAGTTATGCCAGTGCTGCCAGTTATGCCAGTGCTGCCAGTTATGCCAGTGCTGCCAGTTATGCCAGTGCTGCCAGTTATGCCAGTGCTGCCAGTTATGCCAGTGCTGCCAGTTATGCCAGTGCTGCCAGTTATGCCAGTGCTGCCAGTTATGCCAGTGCTGCCAGTTATGCCAGTGCTGCCAGTTATGCCAGTGCTGCCAGTTATGCCAGTGCTGCCAGTTATGCCAGTGCTGCCAGTTATGCCAGTGCTGCCAGTTATGCCAGTGCTGCCAGTTATGCCAGTGCTGCCAGTTATGCCAGTGCTGCCAGTTATGCCAGTGCTGCCAGTTATGCCAGTGCTGCCAGTTATGCCAGTGCTGCCAGTTATGCCAGTGCTGCCAGTTATGCCAGTGCTGCCAGTTATGCCAGTGCTGCCAGTTATGCCAGTGCTGCCAGTTATGCCAGTGCTGCCAGTTATGCCAGTGCTGCCAGTTATGCCAGTGCTGCCAGTTATGCCAGTGCTGCCAGTTATGCCAGTGCTGCCAGTTATGCCAGTGCTGCCAGTTATGCCAGTGCTGCCAGTTATGCCAGTGCTGCCAGTTATGCCAGTGCTGCCAGTTATGCCAGTGCTGCCAGTTATGCCAGTGCTGCCAGTTATGCCAGTGCTGCCAGTTATGCCAGTGCTGCCAGTTATGCCAGTGCTGCCAGTTATGCCAGTGCTGCCAGTTATGCCAGTGCTGCCAGTTATGCCAGTGCTGCCAGTTATGCCAGTGCTGCCAGTTATGCCAGTGCTGCCAGTTATGCCAGTGCTGCCAGTTATGCCAGTGCTGCCAGCCCCACAACAACCTTTTCCCCGTGTGTGCACCTGTGTGTCCTGCCATGTGCATGTGCCGTGTGGGTTGCACGGGCAGTACCGTGAGAGTGTGATGTATGGCAGTGCAGGCAAGCAGGGCATCAACGGTGCAGAGGAGCTGCTTTGGGAGGACATGGCGTTCCGAGTGAGGCACGGTCAGGAGGCGAGGGAGGGCGAGGAGAGGAGGAGGAAGAGGCAGGAGGAGGTGAGTGCGCTGCTGGTGGCAGCGCGCATGGCACCTCTGCCTGACATGGGCGAGCAGCTGTCACCCGCGGACTATGCCTGACGCCTGCTGTCCAACACACGGGTTTCCAGTTAGTCTACCGTCATCGCCAGACATATATGTCTTATCTCGTACACTAGAAAAAATGCTTGGGTTATCTTGTATTATAAGTCTTATAAATGGAAACTTTCAGAACTACTTCGAAATTTTTTTCACACATCTTGAAAAGTGTTTCTCATACCGTCATCGCCTGGATATAAGACAGTGTTGAGTAGTAGACAGGGGTTGTCTATTACCGTATACGGGTGTCTCTTATAAACAGGCTAGCCTTTTTATACGACACCTACCGTCATCGCCCGGATATAAGACATGTATGTCTTATCTCATACATTAAAAAAATCAGTCTTAAAAATGGACAAAAATCCGTTTAGAAGATACTTCCTCGTTATACATTTGCCATTTGCCCCTACACACAAATACCGTAGGTGTCTTATAATGAGGCTACCCTGTTTATAAGAGACACCCGTATAATAGACAACCCCTGTCTACTATTCAACACTGTCTTATATCCGGGTGATGACGGTATTTGTGTGTACGAGATAAGACATACCGGTCAGGCCCCAAAATGGGTTTAGGCTCACCCTTACAAATCAGAGCTCCAGCTGTGGCCAGGCCAACTCTGAGTCCTAGGGTGAAATTTTTCAAAGTCTGATGGGTGCAGGGTAAAAAAAAAATTACTCTGATCTAGTCAGTGCAAACAGGCACCCAACATTGATTGTTACTGCAAATTCCCGCACACAATGCTTCGAGGTTGTTTTACATTTAGAAAGTCGATACATCTGAAAAATGGCCCACTAATCTACACCTACTTTGCCGTAGGCACACTCCCCTCTACATCCTCTTGTGCAAACAAGGTCTTGCTCTCGTTGCTGCCGGTGAAGTCTTTTGTAGACCTGCGCAATTTCTCCCCCCTGAAGATAGCCACCACCTCAAACCAGTCCACCTCATACTGCACAAGGGAACAGCGCATGAGGTGCTCCAGGCTGGTGTCTGAGAGGTGTCAGATTTATATGACATAGTTGCTGTAGGCTATAGTGGGGTAGCACATATGGGGTACAGGTTTTCTAGGGTTGTATTTGTACCCAATCTTTCCTTAGTCATTTCATTCCTGTTCTTCAGTTTCACATGGTATAGAGCAGGTTCCCTGTGGGAACTTCGCTTAGGGCCCACCGAAGCGCGCCCCGAGGCGCGCGATTCCTTTTTTTTTTTTTGCGACCCTCCGAGTCGCCCTGTCCCCTTGCGGCCCCGCCGCCCTTCAGACGCGGCCCCGCCACCCCCTCGCGCGGCCCCGCCACTCAGTCGCGGCCCCGCCACCCAGTCGCGGCCCCGCCGCCCAGTCGCGGCCCCGCCGCCCGTTCTGATCGCGGCCCCACCGCCCAGTCGCGGCCCCGCCACTTCGTCGCGGCCCCGCCGCCCAGTCGCGGCCCCGCCACTTCGACGCGGCCCCGCCATCCCTTCGCGGCCCCGCCGCCTTTCTGCGGCCCGACCACCGCCCTACCAGCGGCCGTCCCGCCGCCCTACCTGCGGCCCTACGCCGCCTCATCTGCGGCCCACCCACCGCCCTACCCGCGGCCCTTCGCCGCCCTACCCGCGGCCCTTTGCCGCCCTACTTGCGGCCAGCCGCCGCCCTACCTGCGGCCCACCTGCCGCCCTATTAGCGGCCCGCCCGCCGCCCTACCTTCGCGGCCCAGCCGCCCTACCTACACGGCCCCAGCAGCAGCCGAGCCGCCCGGAGCAACCGAGCCGCCCTGAGCCGCCGAGCCGCCCGGGAGCAGCCGAGCCGCCCAGGAGCCGCCGAGCCGCCCAGCCGCAGCCGAGCCGCCCAGCCGCAGCCGACCCTGCGCCTGACCCGCCCTGCACCCCAACCGCCCAGCCGTCGAGCCGCCCGGGAGCCGAGCCGCCCTGCGCCCGAGCCGCCCAGCGGCCGAGCCGCCCAGCACCCGAGCCGCCAAGTCGCTGAGCCGCCTTTCTGCATACCTACACGATCTGCCCGGCCTGGTGAGCACAGTCCCACTGACACTGCGAGCTCTTTCCCTGCTGCTTGCACTGCGTTGCTGTCGTCGCCATGGCTACCCCTAGTGTCCTAGCTTTTGACGCTGAGGGTCGCGCCGTTGATTTTGAGGTCTGGCTAGATGACCTGCAGCTGTTCTTACAGTGCGACAGGGCTGACGACCTTTCTCTCTTTGATCTCACCTCTGGCGCCTCTCCTGCTCCTGCTGCTGATGCTGATCCCGCTGTCCGCTCTAAGTGGGCCACCCGCGATGCTGCTGCACGTCTTGCTGTGCGTCGCCACCTCCCTACCTCTGAGCGTGCGCACTTCAGTCAGTACAAGAGTGCTCAGACCTTGTACGACGCTGTAGTTGCGCGCTACTCCTCCCCTGCCACTGCTGCACTGAGCCGTCTCATGCTTCCCTACCTCTTTCCTGACCTCTCTGCCTTTCCCACTGTCGCTGACCTCTTTACGCACCTCCGCACTAGTGACACTCGCTACCGCGCCGCCCTTCCTGCTGAGTTCTGCGCTAAGAACCCCCCCCCCCATGTACATCGCTCTCTACTACGTAGTCGCGCGCCTCCCTGACTCCCTTCGAGTCGTCAGGGACCACTTTCTCGCAGTCTGTCCCACCACCCTCACCGTCGACCTCCTCGAGAAGGCCCTCCTCGCAGCGGAGAAGAGCATAGTTGCTGTAGGTGCTTCTCGTGGTGACCCTCGCACCCCCATCTTTGAGGGGTGCTCTCCTTCCCCCTTGCTGCCCTCTGTTGCCTCTGCTGCTGCTGCCGACCTGCTTGGTCTTGAGTCGGTCGGCGCGGCGTCTGCCCCTAGTGGGAGACGTCGCTCCAGCAAGGGCAAGGGGGGCAAGGGCGCGGGTGGAGCTGGAGGGGGCGGTGGCGGTGGCGGCGGTGGCGGCGGAGGGAGTGGGGGTGGCGGCGGGACTAGTGGCGGGGGTGGTGGTGGTGGTGGCAGCAGCGGCGGAGACGGTGGTGGTGGTGCCAGCGGTGGTGGTGGAGGCAGCGGCGGAGGTGGAGGCGGCGGAGGTGGTGGCAGTGGAGGCGGCAGCGGAGGAGGCAGTGGTGGTGGAGGGGGTGGAGCTGGTCGGGGTGGTACCCAGCAGCGTAGCGGCGGTGGTGGTGGCCAGCGCTCGCAGCGGCAGCAGCAGCAGCGCTCTCGGGACATCCCTTCGCCTCAGCAGCTTCGTGAGTGGTACGCTGGGCGTCAGAGGGGTGGGGGTACTGGTCCCTGCACCTACGTTCTTCGTTCCGGCGACCGCGCGGGTGAGCAGTGTGGGGGTGCCCACGCCACCCAGCGCTGCTTTGGCCGCCTGACGGACGCCTGGCGTCAGCAGTTCCCTGGGGCTAGTGAGATCCCTCGCTGGGATGAGCTTCTCAGGGCTGGTGTAGCGATCTTTGATCTTGATTTTGATGCTATCCTTACTGCTATGTATGTTGTGGATTATAGTGAGGAGAATGAGGGTTACCGCTGTTTCCAGCCCGACCCGGGCATTGGTACTGCTGCGCTGGGTGCTTGTGAGGCTGCTGCTCTAGGTGCCAGTGCGTCTGCGCTCTCAGGTACTGGTGAGACTGCGCTCTCAGGTACTGAGTCGTCCTCGTCCTCCCTCACTTTCACACTTGACTCCGGAGCTTCTCGCTCCTTCTTTCGAGACCGCACTACCCTTACGCCGCTCGGCCGGCCGGTTGCAGTCTCCCTTGCTGACCCCTCTGGAGGTCCTGTCCTGTCTCACTTCTCCACTGTCCTCCCGTGTCCGGCTGCCCCTTCGGGCACCCTGTCGGGTCTGTACCTTCCCTCGTTCTCCACGAACTTGGTGAGTGGAGCGGACCTGCAGGATGGGGGTGTTCACCAGTTCACTCCTGCGAGTCAGCGGGTGACCCACTGCACGGAGGCACGCACAGGCCGACACCTGGCCACGTTCTCGCGTCGGCCGGGGTCGAGTCTCTACACCCTGACCGTTGAGTCTCCTCCTGTCCCTGCGTCTGGTCAGGTGGCTGCGTCGGGTCAGGTACTTGCTGCTGCGTCCCGGTCAGGTCCTGAGTCTGCCCCCTGTTCTTGTCGCCTCCTGTCTCACGAGACTCTCCTGTGGCACCACCGTCTTGGCCACCCCTCCTTGCCCCGTCTTCGGAGCATGGCTTCCCGTGTCCTTGTCTCCGGTCTTCCCCAGTCTCTCCCTCCTCTCCCCTCCGGGCCAGGACCTTCCTGTGTCCCCTGTGTCGAGGGTCGCCTCCGGGCTACTCCTCACTCCTCCCACTTCCCCCCGACAGAGGCTCCCCTGCAGACGCTTCACATGGATGTGTGGGGCCCTGCCCCCGTCCGTGGGCAGGGTTACGAGCGCTACTTCCTGTTGGTGGTTGACGACTACTCGCGTTACACCACAGTCCTCCCCTTGCGCAGCAAGAGTGCGGTCACTGAGGTGCTGATCGACTGGATCCGCGAGGCTCGCCTCCAGCTCAGGAAGAGCTTCGGCTCGGACTTTCCTGTTCTGCGTCTGCACTCTGACAGAGGCGGAGAGTTCTCTTCTCGCCTTCTGCGAGACTACTGTCGTGCACGGGGGATCCGCCAGACCTTCACGCTTCCGGACTCACCACAGCAAAATGGGATTGCTGAGCGCCGCATTGGCATGGTCATGGATGTCGCTCGTACGTCCATGATGCATGCGGCTGCCCCCCATTTTCTGTGGCCGTTTGCGGTGAGGTACGCGGCGCATCAGCTCAACCTTCACCCCCGGGTCTCTCGGCCTGCGATGTCCCCAGCCTTGCTGTGGACGGGGAAGGTTGGCGATGCGTCTGTGTTCCGTGTCTGGGGATCTCGGGCGTTTGTCCGCGACTTGTCTGCGGACAAGCTGTCCCCTCGCGCTGCTCCCTGTGTCTTCCTTGGCTTCCCCACTGACGCCCCAGGGTGGCAGTTTTACCACCCCTCCTCTCGTCGTGTTCTGTCCTCCCAGGACGTCACGTTCGACGAGTCAGTCCCCTTCTACCGTCTCTTCCCCTACCGC